TGACGTATTATGGCGTGATGGATGCCTAGGGGATCTTGAAGAAGTCTCCCTGCAATAGCGCTGCGGGCGTGTATCTCGGAAACTAGAAAGGTCCTGGCCTTAAGGAGGGCTGAGTTGTGAGCTGCACCGAATAATATCCAAGATGACTATTTCAGTTCAAAACCCCATGCAAATGCGGAACACTCCTTTAAGTGGAATTAGCTTTCGGTACATCGCGCCATCGGATGTTTCCAATACCCTGCCCCAGGTGTCTCCCCTCCGTCCCTTCCCCGCTTCCCTCCCCCGAATCGCTAACCGGTGGCCAGGGCACATGCCAGCAGCCTCGGCTGCATGTTAGTTTCACCTCGCCGAGAACGTCAAGATCAAGGCTGCGAGACGCACTTCGTTTCAAAAACCTACGGTGTAGATAGCAATAGCCGCCCAGATGTGTACCTAGTGCGCTGCCACCTAATCGGATAACGGGCGCCGAGTTCGGGCCGCCTCCAGTCGGCTGCCATCAGCACGCTTCGCACTGAATACATGTGTTGCACGTCCAAATGCATCATTGTATATTTCCCATATGCCATTTCAATGATACCGGTTAGGTTTCGGCACACATCAGCCCGCGTACCGCCCAGCTCCACCAGTATTGGGCTAGATTAACCAATAATTCAGTGCCTGCCGGTTGGCAAAACCGCGAAGCCAGGTATGGCGACTTCGTTCCAGCTGGCCGTGGCCCGCCCCGCCCTCACATCGTGCGTTGTTCCAGCTGGCGGCGGTCCGCCCCGTCTGCGCAGTAGGCTTCCTCACTCTGCCCGGCGCGGTCCCTGCCGCCTACGTCCAGTGGTAGCTTCCAATCACGAAAAGTAGCTTCTCAGCTTCCAGTCACCGCTTCCAGGGTGATTGGAGGTGGTTAGCAGGACCGTCTGCCTGAGTCACAAGTTTGCGGAGGTAGTGTCTGCCCTAGCCTTTGCTCCCTGCGTCGCAGTGTCTCTGACCAATGGAACATATGCCACTGGAACGCAAGTGCATTCTGAACGAGCTTCTAATGCGTCTTTGCATTACACCTGATCCCATTTGTTTCGCCTTCGATAGTACGCACCGTTATAACGCACCTAGCTGTGACATCTTAATCATGAGCATCGCAGCCATGTGATAACAATAAACTGTGCATCATCATTCATGCACAAAAGGACTGCTCGCAAACCCTCACAAACAAGTCTAGGTCTGCGCACTACGCACGAATGACGCTTTACTCCGAGTCTCGTGACCGCCATTCTGCACTACCCTCATTAAACATAACCTAAAAAGTGGTGATGCCACCTGCAAGCGCACGGCACCAATTTCGGTCTGATAGGTGCAAAATGGCCTTAGCAATCAAAGCGCCCTTATGCCCCAACCAACAATGCAATTTCGGCCTGACATAGGGAAATACCGGACATGATAATGGATAGACATGAAGCCAAATGTTCTCCTTTTCCAGATGATTCAGAGCCACGTCAAGCTTGTAGACCAGTTTTCCCATTGAGGCAGCTTGGAATTTGGCTCGTCATGCATGGCCAGGCCTGTTTGGAACGTGACCATTTTACCACTATGATGGAGCCTATCAAGCCAAATGCCTAACACCACAATGACATCATCGGCAAGCCAAAATTTAAAATAAAGAAACGCGAGTATTGGCGTGGTTAGCCTCAACCAGGCATCTGGTTAGTTTCTGTCATGGAGAAGGTAGCAGGACTCCCTGAAACCTCGAACGACCCACCAGCAGCAGCGCGCCACCCAGGACTACATCCACTCGCTCCCAGGACTCTTCAGCCGGCCGGCGGCAGCAGCCACCGGACCGCAGGGTGTGTCTCCATCCCACCCCACCGACGGGCAGTCGCGTCAGCACGCACGGGCAGCGGAAGCCACCGCCGCCGCGCCCCGCACCAACCTCCGGATCCTGCGTGTTGCGGAGCACAGCAGACGCGCGTCATCTCGCGCCAAAACGCGTCGGCGGCGGCAAAAAGCCCGCGCCGCCGCGTCTTTTTGCGAGCGCCGACAGGTGCCGCGGCGGGAGTGGGTGGTGGGTGGAGGGGTGCGGGGGGAGGGGTGATCTGTCCGGCCGTGTCCGGCTGGCGGCGCGCGCAAAAAGACGGCGGACGGGCGAACACCGCCGGATGGTGCGTCGTTTTTGCACGCGGCAAAAGTGCAAGTCTGCCTCGCGACGGCGGCGGCGCGGCGCCCCGCCGCGCAAAAACGCTCCGCTCCGCCCACGCCCGGCTGGCCTGGGCGGCCACGTGACCCGAGCACAGACGTCGGTCATGGAGGGAATTCGTGAGGGTGGAGAGGTCTTTCCTCTGTCACCTGTCTGCCAGTCGTGTCGAGCGACACGTGCTGGTAACCGAGTGCCTCCCTCTGACGGCGAGCCATGTCATCGACGTTGTCAGTGCTCTGTCGGCTGTGTCTGCGTGTTTATTTAGTCTGCATGTTAAGCTTTTACTGCTGCACAAACCTGGCTGAGCACAAGATACTTTTGATACACCGCCACGTAAAACGGTAACAGTCTAGATGCACATCTGTGACTAATACAATGAGCTTGATATCGACAATGCAAGTAATACTATAGGCTGCTTAATTAGATCACTTGATGAAATTATGCTGCCAGTGATAACTGCTCATAAATATCTTGCCACCAGTTACAGTTCATACCAGATCTTAATACATTTCCATTCTGCATAGCTGTCGCGCATGAATGCCTTTATTCTGCTGCATAACCACGGTATTTGACTCGCGCAAGCTACTACCACGCGGAAAACGAGATTAGTAAATACAAGTGCAACACAAAGTTGAATTACAATGGATGGGGGGGGGGGGGGCCGGGTACCGGCAACGGACACCCACCATAATTGGACATAACGTGACAAATTTCTGTCAGCGAGCCAGGCGTTGCACATCGGTTGTTCCCAGCAACCAAGTAGTGGTGCTACAATTGTCCCAAGCTTCCATCAACAATGGAGCGGAGGGGCAGGTTGGGCCACATCCAATCCCACGAGTTCGCTGCGACCCTCCGGGTCTGAATGGTCGGAAAACCCCACGAACGTGCAAACACTCACCCCTCGGCGCCCGCCATACCCCTGCCCAGCACGTTCGAATCAGTGTGCGTTCGGGCCGCGTCCGAGCTCGTGACACCCCGCAGGCAGGGCACAGCCACACCCGGCGGCAGTGTGACGAGGTCGCGCCGCAGCTGTGCTAGTGTGACGGACGCCGTCAGCCGCGCCGCGCCGGCAGCAGGTGCGCCGCTTCCGCCGCACCGTCGCCGCGCGGGCCGTCACGGCGGGGACGGCAGCGCGTCACTACGGGATGAGCTGGTGAACACTGCGCGGCGGCGAGGGCGGCCAGTGTGCGGCTGGCTCGACGTTCAGTTAGAAGCGCGGTAATGCCGCCTTAAAACAGGCTAGAGATGGGAAAGCCGGAGATTCATTATTGCTGCCGATCGCCACGGCCAGCCCGCTTTGTGTTCAGCACCGTGACGCTATCGAGAGCGAGCATTGAGAGAAGACCGACGGTGAAAATGTGTCAAGGCACATGCACTCAGCAGTGCGCCACGCTCGCCATCCCATGGGTGAGGTGGTCAAAAACCGCCTGTGTAAGAGCGTCGTGCTCGGAACCCCTGCACAGCCGTGGCCCTGGACGTTCTCCGTTCGTCCTTGCCCACCACACCCCGCCGCCAGCGCGAGGACCGCCTGGTGTCCGCGTCACTTCCGTCGCGCGGGACGGTTCGGGAGAAACGCCGAGCCTCACCGGCGTGTCGGTGGAGTAAACAGCGATCAGCCGGCGCGTGCGTGACGTCACAGAGGGCCGGGCTCGGGCCTGGATCAAGGGCGACGCCGATCAATGCCGCAGTCGGAGTGGCCGGCGGCGCGGAAGGAAGCTCGAGCGGCGCTCGGCCGTCGTCGGCAGGCGGCGCCCGTCTCGTTCACAGCAGAGGGCGGTCGTTCCCCTGTAGCCGATTCCATGGGGACCCTGCCGACCGTCGAAGCTGTATGCCTTACCTCACATGCGGATAAAAGAGCACCCACCTAAATTACGCTGAGGTGAAGGGCATACACATATACATTTTGACAGCGGGTAGAGAGGTTTAAGGCTCATTGTCTCATTCATTGCATGCCATACCGAGATAAGCAGCTAATAATCGAACTAAAAAAATTGAAGAATGTCCACAAATGCCGTGATATTTGCACCAGATGCCATGCCTGGTGAGTTAGCAGGTATCGTCACGGCCTCGAAAGTGATCATGTTCGAACGCAGCTCGATTCTTCCGTCAGCAGTCCTGACAGAAATAAGTGCAAAATAACGCCATCGGCTCATATGTGCGTGATTGCAAGATTTTCCATTCAGGCTAGACTGGTTCACAAACTGCCATTTCGATGACGAATTGCCTGAAGCCTTTGTACGGACAGTTTCAACGGGGTGATGGGTCTGCGGCGGTCGGACTACGACACTATTGCTACGTCTTGTTCTGGTGAAATTATAAATGTAATCTTAATCTAATTGTATCAGCTTCAGAAATGACTGATAAACCATATGAAAAGAATGTCACTAACGTAAATACGCAGGGCCACCATCGACAATTCTGAACGCGAACATGATCTCAAAGAACACGAAGGGTCTCCGCATGCCTTACTTAACTCAAAAGAAGAAAGAGCAATTGTATTTTAAAATACCTAGACCTCTGCAGCAGATGATGCAAAAAGGAAAGCAATTTGTAAAGGTACAAAAAGTGCAGTCGCAGCGAGTGCACATGGGGAATAACATAAATGCCATGTGGAGGGGGCTTAGAAGAAAACGCGAAAGTTTTATTCATGACTGAAATAGGTTAGGAAAAACCGTAATATGGCAATGATTTGGTAGCAGTAGCTTAATGCAGCCTGGCGCACTAAGGTCTATTCTGGTGGTGGCTCATGCTTGGTACCGCTGCTCGCGCGTCCGTGCATTGGCCGGGCGGCACGTGACGTAGGGGTCGTTGGAATTGGGGCTTTCTGTGCGATTTTTGGAAATGAACAAATGACCATGCCACCATTCAGATGTCAAAATTCACCCATCTGTCGATGACGTTTGGCAGTCTGCGTGAAATAGCGGCCTTTAGTGATCACATGCTCTGAGTAATCGGATTGCACATTTGTTTGTCAGCACATTTGTTACTGCCATGAAATTGAGGTTATTTTGTCAAGAGATTTAGCTGTCTGGCTCCTATGCCTATCGCTGTGTGTTATTCTTGCTTCAGTGTATTTCTTATGACTGTGGATGGATGATTGTTTTTTGTCCATTTTTACAGGGTACTGAAAACTTAAGATGATTGATAAAGAACTAAGATTACAGGTTGAGCAGGAGTGCCAAAAAATTGGATGCTGCATCCATTGCAGCAGGCGATTCACAGGAGACAGAGTTTTGGACAACTATGTGGTAAGACAAACACTGTAAAAATGCTGATTTTGATGCTGCTGCAGATTTGACTGCTGGTGGTAATGGATCTTCCACTAGCACTGTTGAGAATCAGTTTTCTGGATGCATCCATTATCATGTTTTATTCTCATCAAGATTCTGCCATTGATGACTTTAAATATATTAACACACTGCCTGCTTTGTAATGTATGCCATATATGGTGTTTTTGTTGCGTAGAACTCCACAGGAACGAAGTGAGAATAGCCCTGTATGGCTAAACACATCACAAAGTTTATTATAACTATGTTCATGCAATTTCAACCTATGTCTGATTCTGCCAGTATTTGTGTAGCTAGTGCCGGTGAATCTTGGTCACTGTTTTATGTAAGTAACAAACTGAATCATATTGTTGTGATCTCTGAATAGAGGCAAATGCCCAATTTTTCAGGCAAAGTCCACAGACAGTGCTGCTGATGAAGAACCTTCAGCAAAGAAACCAAAACTGGACCTTTGTGTGTTCTGTTTTGGGGTACTGTCTTCATCCTGTGTTGAATACTTATCATCAAAGGTAAGATCAAATGCTTGATAGAATACCTGACACATGGAATACTCCATGTATCTAATTGTGTGTGTATGTGCATAGGTGTGCATGTATGTGTGTGTATGTGTGTATGTGTGACTTCTCAACATTTATGATGAGATTATAATGCATACATGACCTGTACCTGACAGTCTCCCAGTGTAAAAATATTGCTGCTTGAGTGTATGGCAAAGTTTTTATACAGGCTGTCATCTTCAGTGCTCTCTTATCATTTCTGACTATCTAAAGCTTAAGCTATATTTTTTTTGTAAAGATGTGACATTCTGCATGCCACAGCCTAGTGAATTATGCAATGTTCACTTTAGATCTCATGGTGCTCTCACTTGGTCTGAATTAAACTCACTGTGGGTGCCAAAAAAAACTAGGCTTTGCTCTCACCATAATCATTGATCTGGATTTTGTGGGGCTGCACAGGACAGGTTATTATCTAAGCTGTGCATAATGCCAGGGAGCAAGCAGCTTAGCTGGTAACATGTCGCATCCTCGCTCCGGGGACCTGAATTTGAAACTAGAAACTTGTGGGAACTCCAAGTTGATTCAAACTGCATAATCCTGGGTTGGTTCCATGGCAACAATGGGTGGAGGAGGTTTCCGCGCAGATCGCCTGCGCAGTGCAGTAACAAACTGACCCAGCCACCATGCCAGCAATGCCCACTCCGGTTCTCGCGCGGCCACAAAATATTTAATCACTATAATTTTTAGTAGTTATTTTTAGCTTTATTTTGTTTTTATTATTTTTATCTATTTTTACTCACCCCAGAGTGTAAGTGTACCAGTGATACTGCCTGCTATTAGTTGATGACACACTTATCGCGTAACATTGCAGATGTAAATAACTGTCACAAAGTGGGTGCAAAATGGCCCGGATGCCGATGCGCCCTAAAACACCAAATCACCACCAGCATGAAGTCACTACATTGGCTTCCCCGCGAAGCTGTCTGCTTCCGCCTGCCGTCGTGTCTGTGCGCAGTGGTGACGTCACCGCGCGTTCTGCGCAGGCGGTGTCGAGCCTGGAGGCGGCGTCCTACGACGAGCCAGTGTTCACCACCACGCTCTCCATGCCAGTCTGCACGCTGGTGCGCGATAAAAGCCTCTACCTGCACCTGAAGCGCAGCGTGCCCGGCTACGGCGAGAAGGTAGGCTGCCACCGCCCCCTGGCAGAGGCTACAGGCGGGTCGAGGGTTGGCTGAGTGGGGGGGGGGGGGGGGGGGGGAGAAGGGGGAGGGAGGCGCGGGGCACCCGCGGTAGGCTGACGAATGCTGGTGACTGGATCATTAGTGGATGTCGATATTCGCCGCCTGTGATTGGGCAGTTTGGCTCGTGAAACATTACCGTACATTGCGTGCGTTGGCACGGTGCCATCGACCTTGCCGCTGGTGTGCCATGGAGTACTGCGTTGATCCCAGCTTGCTGTGCCAAGTGGCGGAGCCTCGCGCAGACGCATGCCGCCCGCGTGCCTCACGCTCGTCCTGCGGCGAATCGGGCACACTGCTGACCCCTGGCGGCGGCGCCGGCAGGTGCGCTTCACCCACCTGCTGCCGCTGAAGGACATCTGGAAACAGCTGATCAACGGCCGCATCGCGAGCGGCGCGGGCAAGGCGGCCGACAACGGCTACTTCGCCGAGCTCATGGTCAACGTGGAGATGGCGTACCGCGGCGACCGCCGGGAGGTCGAGGTCATGTGAGTGTCCTCTGGTGGGGCTGAAAGGAGCGAGACCGGCGGCGTGAGACTGTCATGGGGGGGGGGGGGAGGGGCTAGGCCTGCGCCACTCAGTGGGGCCATCGGCCAGGTCAGCGAGCGTGGACCAAGCAGTCATCTTGCTATTCGGTGACGCGCAGGAGAGCGTTCCACGGCCAATGGAGCGTCATCTCCACATGCGACGACTGTCAAGTGACGCTCCCTGTGGTCATGTCATTCGTTCCAGTCGGACCTCTGGCTATACTGAACTCCGACCCTGTCTGTTGGGCTGTGCTGAACTCCGGCCCTGTCTGGTGGACCGTGCTGAACTCGTGCCCTGTCTGTTGGGCTTTGCTGAGCTCCGGTCCTGTCTGTTGGGCTGTGCTGAGCTCCGGCTCTGTCTGTTGGACTGTGCTGAACTCCGTCTCTGTCTATTGGACTGTGCTGAGCTCCGGTCCTGTCTGTTGGACTGTGTTGAGCTCCAGCCCTGTCTGTTGTGCTGTGCTGAGCTCCGGCCCTGTTTTTGGGCTGTGCTGAGCTCCGGTCCTGTCTGTTGGGCTGTGCTGAGTTCCAGCCCTGTCTGTTGTGCTGTGCTGAGCTCCGGCCCTGTCTGTTGGGCTGTTCTGAGCTCCGGTCCTGTCTGTTGGGCTGTGCTGAGTTCCAGCCCTGTCTGTTGGGCTGTGCTGAGCTCCGGCCCTGTCGGTTGCACTGTGCTGAGCTCCGGACCTGTCTGTTGTGCTGTGCTGAGCTCCGGTCCTGTCTTATGGGCTGTGCTGGGCTCCGGCCCTGTCTGTTGTGCTGTGCTGAGCTCCGGCTCTGTCTGTTTTACTGTGCTGAGCTCCGGCTCTGTCTGTTGGACTGTGCTAAGCTCCGGCCCTGTCTGTTGTGCTGTGCTGAACTCCGGTCGCGTTAAGTCCGCTGTGACGCGACCCCTGCCTCCCCTGACCCGTCAGTTCGAAACTCCGGCCGGGCGGCCGAGACCTGGTGACCCGGACGATGGCAGACAGCGCACTCGAGGCGTCGCCGGAGGCCAAGCTGCTGCACTGCCTCACCGTGCCGCCCGGGCCGCCGGTGGCGCCGCCTACCTACCAGCTCACCTGCTGCCGCAACGCCATCTTCGTGGCAGGTGGGGTGACGTACGCGGTTGGGTGATTGGTTCAAACCCAACCGGGCGGTGGCGACTTGCTGGCTGCGACCCTTTTGATGCGGCTACGTGTAGCGGAGTTGCTACTTAATAACATGTGAACGCTTACCGAAACCGTTGGACGTGGACCGTGGACTATGAATTCACCCGAAATACGTCGATGACATGCACCAAGAAAAGCGCAAAGCGGGACCAAAAAGGCACCAAGGATCTTAATTGGGTTGAGCAGGCTCGGTGGGAAGCGCCGTGGCCGACGGGATTCTGTTCCCCATGCTGGAATGGCGGCCTGCGCCATTCCAGAGATCACTGCAGGCGCCATAAGGAAGTCAGTCCGAAAAAGCCAGCTGGTGTAGTTCAGTTAATAAGTTAGCTACAAGTTAGTGAGTTGATAACTTGTTGCTTAGTTTGAGTTGCCAACTAATAATGGGTCTAAGTTTCTTAAGTAATATTATTAAGTGACTTATGTAGTATTTGGCCAGCCTTTCCCATGTGTCAGGAGAGGGTCTTATGCCTTAAAGATGTACTGTTGGAATTCTGCACAACCTTTCTTGAACCGCTTTGTGTCTCGGAATCTTTCAGGGTTCCATCGGGACAATGCCGTCACTATTTAGGGGACAGTGCCGGTGCCCTCGTGTGATGCCTACCAGTTCTCTGCCCGCCTGGCGTGTTCCGGTGGACCCAATGCTTTACATTGCTTATGCAACCCAAGCTACACTGTGATATCGGTTGGAATTTTGTCGATTAATTTCACGACAAGTACATAACACTGACCGCACGCGGTCGCTTGGTCTTGGATATTGTTCACGTTGCCTTGAAACCAAGTGACGCATGTTAGGACAGAACGTCTTCCGCACGGAGCCGAGCGGTGCGTTTGTCAGGATGCCAGCTAGCGAGCTCTCTTCTGTGCGCTTGGCGTGGAGTGTCGCGCTCCTTCTGTGTGCCGCAGCCGCAGGGGTTAGCCGGGGCGCCGCTCTCGCCGCCTGCCCGTTACCATTAGCGGCATGAGCGGCGAAGGATGGCGTGCGCCCGTGGCCGGTGCCGGCCTGCGCCAGCTGACGGTTGACCGGGACGGACGCCAGCCACGTCTGTAAACCCGCTCAGAGCCGTGGTGCTCCTCACCAGTCTGGGCCTCTTCAGATGGCGGCTGCCGCCTGTTCAGGCTCTGGTCGCGGTCTTCAGGTTCTAAGTGCTAAGATGGCCACTTCATGTCCACGTGAAAAAGGCAACAACGCGAACAATATGCGGAAGCAAACTGTACACAAGCACAGTAAAGCCAAAGGCATCAACTGGCATGGTTTAGCGGATGCTGCTACCATAGGTTGTCTTGAACAGGTGATAACCTGGTCCGTTGTGAATGCCATGTCCTGCTGTCGGCAGGTCGGTACAACAAGTACAGTCGTAACATGAGCCAGACGCCGTGGCACGTGGACGGGGCGCGTCGCACAGAGTCCTCACTGCAGGAGGTCATCACCGACCCGCTGGTTAGCCTCACCAAAGCCTCAGGTCAGGCCCTCCACGCAGCCGCGCAGGGACCTCGGTACCTTACCGCTCCTCCGTTGGCCGACAGTTCCCAGGGCGCAGATGTCGTTGGACAATTCGGACAGTCGCCACGGATCGCAGTCGCCAGTGATCGTCCGTCGCCTGTCGCGGACTGTCTGTTAACGTCACGACACCTGTCGGTGATTGTCCAGTGACGTCATGTCGCCTGTTGCTTATTGTCCAGTGACGTCGCGACACCTGTCGCTGACTGACCAGTGACGTCATGCCACCTGTCGCCGATTTTCCAGTGACGTCATGTCGCCTGTCGCTGATTGTCCAGTGACGTCATGCCACCTGTCCCTGATTTTCCAGTGACGTCATGTCGCCTCTCGCTGACTGTCTAGCGACGTCATGTCGCCTGTCGCTGATTGTTCAATGACATCATGTCGCCTGTCGCTGACTGTCTAGTAACGTCATGTCGCCTGTCGCTGATTGTCCAGTGACGCCACGTCGCCACGTCGCGTGACCATGATTGGCTCCAGGTCACCCCCCCGGGCACGTTCCATGCGTACCGACCATCCTGGCGCCGTCCGGTCCGTGCCTGGCCTCGCCTCGCTTTGAGGCGGACAAAGGCGGAGAACACGTCTGTGCAGGATTCGCTTTCGTGAGATCACATGTGCAGAAAACGGATGTGTAGACGGATTTGCCTTGGTGATGGACAGATGTCGGTTATTCCTTCAAATAATGAATCAGTCGGCCAACAACGAAGTACTGTCCATGTTCTGACTCAGCCATCAGTAGACTATTTTGTGTTTCTTCCGCCGGAAGAGCGTGGCCGCGCGTGCTCTGGACTGTACGCGCCTGCGTGTTCGGCCCTCAGGCGTGCGCTTCTCAGCGTCGGGCCGGGAGGACGTGGACGTGCGCACGCTGGGCCGCGGCCGGCCGTTCGTGGCCGAGCTGGCCGACCCGCACGTGGCGCAGCTGTCGGCCGAGCAGCTGCGGCAGCTGCAGCGGACCGTCAACGCCGTGCACCCCGAGGTCCGGGTGCGGGACCTGCAGCTGGTGACCAGGTGAGTGATGATGTGGGTGACCATGGTCAGGGCAGGTTGAGGCAATTGGGGAAGCCAGGACAATGGCTAGAGCATTCTGCATCAAGGGTGGGGTGGACATTCTTTATTTAAGTCAAGTGTTTTCTGGTGGGCTGTGAATAACATCGCTGGCACATTTTATTTGACTAGAAGAGTTAACGGGCAAAAAGTTTATGTTTGGCGACGTGTTGACAGTCATGACATGGTGGCATGGCATGGTGATCCAGTGAAGGCTGCGGTGTGAGCTCTTGACATTTTACCACAGCCTAGTAGGGAAACGGTTAGAAGGACGGACGAGCCTCTGCGAAGTTTAAATGGCCTTGTATCAAGGTTTCACATGTTGTGGCCAAAACCCTGTCATGATAATCAGATTATCTCCGGTCTGGCCTCGGGGTTAACTCACCTGGCAGTCCACTAGACGAGCGCAGTGTGACATCAGCGGGTACCCAATCAGCTACGTCAGACAGCGCAGGCCGTGGGGCGGGCACCATTACTTTACGGTTATACATGCTAGTGCTCGCTTGGAGGCTGTTTTCTAGACGAGGGCCTGGTGAAGACTACGTTGTATTTTTGCCCGCTTTTTCTCATTTTGATCATAATTGACCATAATTTGGACTCGTTTTCAAAGCCGGTCCTCACGACAACAATGCGCGGTGTAACCAAGACGTCCGTTTGGACACTGATGTTAATCACACATTTGGTCACCTACCGAAGGTAATCAGCAGAGCAGGCAAACTTCCGTGTACCTGTCGTCTCTTGCTCTCTGAGAATCTCTTGGTAGATTTGGCGTCATTTTGGCTGAAGACTCACGTTCCGCTTCCGTGCCTGCATCAGTTGCGTTGAGAGGGAACGGAAAAGTCGTAAGGGCAACGGACAACTCGATCCGTTAGAGAGCATCGCCTTGCCGTCCTGCATAGCATGCCGTCCAGATGTGCCGAGGACTATAAGGGTGCCTTTGGGGCTTGCAACGGTCGAGGTCAGGGGATGAGGTCATGTAGTGTAAAGTGGGCCAAATATGACCCATATTTGTCATCTCGTAGCACATTCTAGTGATTGTTTAGGCCACCTCAGCGTGCATATATTTCGTAGCGCGTCGATTCAGTGCAGAACATTGACTTCAACGACCGACCGGAAGATCTTGCTCGTGGGTCCCGCTTATGGCGCTGCAGTGCGCAGGCGGCGCGAGTCTGACCTCCCCCTCGCCGCGCGCCGCGCCAGGGAGCAGACAGCTAATCTGAAGGAGGGCGAGGAGGACAAGACCAAGTCGTACACGGCGCTGGTGCAGAGCCTGTCGGGCCCGCTGGCGCCCGAACGACTGGCGCCGCTGGCCGCCGCCCGCGACCTAGTCATCAGCCAGCAGACGCCCGTGCGCGTGCTCCACCGGCGACCCATGGCTACGCGCCAGAAGACCGTGCTCTGGATGAGGCCAGAGCCCGTCACCGATACTCTCTTCAAGGTGAGGCGGATGGGGTGACGCCGCTTGCTGAAGCTGTGGTGTGACTTGCCTGTGACCAGGCATCGGACGGTTACCGGCAGATCGGAATGGCGAAGGGGTTAAATGAGGTCTTAGTGGCATGCATATACGGTGTACGATAGGCGGATGTACGGCATGAGTGAGGAGCGGTGGTTAATATATTTGTAATGGTGCATATGGATCTAGTAGTCTTATAGTAGTGTGGGATATCAGACTAAGAATTTTGGGAGGCAGTCCGTTTTGGTTAATATTCGACTGTCTGCTGACAAGGGAACTTCATTGTCACTCAATAAAAACGCACCCAGGCCTTCAAGCATGACTCAGTGCTCGAAAATGTCAGGCACACTAAAAACCGCGCGATGTCCCCGCGCTTGAAACAGTACCGGCAAAGCAGGACTGTACCCACCTTGTCTGCAAATCCCACCGCATGGGCTGATCACGGCACACCTGTCTTCCGCAGCTGCACCTGCAGACACAGGCGGGCACCTACATCAAGGAGTTCGTGCACGGCGACTTCGGCCGCACCGAGCCGAACGTGGGCACGCTGCTCGGCGGCAAGTTCGACATCCTGGCGCTAGATGTCGAGTCGATCGAACTAGATTGGCCGCCGGCGCTGGACGACGAGGACGGGGATACAGCCGAACCTTGCGCTACAGTCGAGCCCGGTGCGCAGGCGTGACGACCGCCGGTGCTGCCTGCGGGAGGGAAGGTGCTGGGTCCAGGCTCCGCCGGCGGGGCTGGCTGGCCGTGGTGTAGACTCTGTCTCCCCGCTGTACGGGCGTGTTGCGTTTTGACGTGGCTGTGTCAGACGATGTGTTTGTGCGTGGAGGTGAAGGACCATACGTCCGCGGTTTTGCGCGTCTGGACTGCGCGTCGCCAGAGGCAGAATAAAACGGTCGGTGCGGTGGCTTGGCTAGACACGTTCACTTCGGAGTAGAGGCTTTTGGAAGCAAAGGGATCGTGAAGTCTGACATGTTGACGGTCTTGGAGGGAAGGTAGCTATCGCTACCTCAAGATTGCCACCTGGCTTGCTGTTTATGGATCCGTCCTTTATTTCCAGTTAAGTCTGCTGTCCAAACAAACGTTACGGAGCGAGGCCCCGGATCCTGTTGCGAGAGCGTAGCCTTCTCTCGCATTCCCCGACCGCCCCACGAATTCCAAAGTTCCGCGAATTGAACTGACCAACGAATTCGCTCGGGCGTTCTGGTCGTGCTCGTCCAAGCGAAAATTGCCACTGGCTGTTTCTCTCCTCCGTCATCCGACGGTAATCATGTGCTTCATGTTTCACCCAGCTATTCCGGACGCTCATTCAGCGGCTGCTTGTGGGTGCGAACGGTTATGTGGACGGTTGTTCTGAACGACACTCTGTGGATTTCGGCTTTGGCTTGCTGTGCAATGAAGCCTTGTGGCCGTATGCTAATGAGGTGCATTTTTGACAAGCGAATACAAGACTGATCAGACAGGAGTAGATGTTGCTGGTTTGTGACTCGTCCAGACGCACGGCGTGTATGCAGTGCTTTATGTTTGGGGGTAGAAAAATGTTTCCTGCATATCATCAGCCACCAGAAACTCCGGTCTGCCTGATGTTCTTTTTTTGGCTCCTCGAAATGCCCTGCGCTGTTTGGCTTCCTTACCTGCTTTATTGCATTGGTGCTAATTCACGAATAATTTGGGCTTTGGTATTCATGACCCGAAAAGCATCTGCTTTGTGAGAAATTCAAACGCGGTTTCCATGGTAATAGGGCACGTTTCAGGGGTCGCCGCTTAGTGAAATCAACTTGATTTTTTGTCTGGCAGCTTTGGCTGTCACAGCTGTGGCCTACTTAATATATTGCTGATTTTGTACCTGTTTCGCCTATGAAATGCGACTACATTTTAAGCGCGCATAGGACCAGATGACAAACACGTGCTATGGTGACTCAGTGATTACACACACAAACGTTGCGGGTCGGATAACCTTACAAGGTGGGCATTTGCCAGAGTGACAGCCAAACAGATCACACAAATCTACTAAGGGCATTGCGACGTGTGGAGATAAGCGGGACACATCAGGTATGGGTTAAAACTTTCTCATACTTATCGTCTCCTGAAGCGATTCGGCCAAAGGCCGACAGATCCCGACTCCCACTCGCTTCTCAGGCCTTTCGGGCGGGGGGGGGGGGGGGCGAATCGGGCCCTTTCCACTCCTGCCCTGGTGACTTCTGGCCCGCGCAACTAAATGACCAAACAATCTTTTTCTAAATCCTTTTCGTGACGTTTGTGTGCGGTTTTTTGTACTGCTTGTGTGGTGCAGTCATGGCCACCGGTGTGTTCGGACACAATATCTTATACTACGGCTCATTGGCCAGGCATGCTCTTCTTTCGGACCATATCAAGGCGGTGGGGTCACCTCTGCACTCCACAACAGCATTATCACGCCCAGCTCTGTGAAAGAGTGTCTTTCCGTCGTTTACCGGAAATGTTACACGTTCAATGATAATGAAGCAAGCGTCAGGTATGATGAAATGGGCTCACTTATAACTATTGGTATACGTTTGAACGGAAAATGATAAGCTAGACAATAATCCTTCTCTATTAAGAAAATTTGCTTCTCAATAGGTCATTGTTTCACTCCGCCATGGAACGTTTGCATGCGTCAGGTATGATGAAATGGGCTCACTTATAACTATCGGTATACTTTTGAACGGAAAACGATGAGCTAGACAATAATCTTTCTCTTAAGAAAATTTGTTTCTCAATAGGTCATTGTTTCACTGCGTCATGGAACGTTTGTATCACGTTAAGGTGCTGCCGAGCTAGTTGCGCAAAACTGCTTCCCTGGCACTCACTTGTACGCCAAGCTTGCCGAGATAGCAGTATGACGCTGGAAGTGTTCGCTGAGCCAAATATCGTTGTGTGCTCGTGCTTTGGCTCTTTCTTGTGGTGTTATAAGATATCTATCCGTGACTTTAAGATGTTTTTTCATTCACGTGCTCCGTTCTGTTGCTTTTCGTAAAGGGAGTGTTCCACAACTCTATGAGGTGCGAGCCTAAAACAGCCATCTTGAAGACCCCTCGGTGCAGTTCACAGCCTCGCCCTTCTTGGGACCCGTCTTACTACACGTCCGCGAAAACAGGGAGACTTTTTTCGGGGGAATATTTCCAGGCCAATCATGCCGTCAAAACGTCACCGAAATCCTGTCATTCCATAAACCATGCGGCAATCAAGGCTGATAAAAACATAATGATCAAGACATTCACATCTGGTTCTCGTGAGCACAACTTCCGGATATAATGACCGTCAATTGGCTCTATATCAATGTCGTGCAAGGTACGATGACGTCATCAGATAGTGACGTATCGAGTAACATATTTACTAAACAGAGAAATTGCGCTATTCAGAAGTGTTTTTTTTAAAGTGTTACAAGTGAGCTTGTCCATCATACCTGATGCTTGCTTCAATATCTTCATATCTGAAGCATTTCTTTTAGAAATCTTATTTTTGTAGTAACTGGCAGCCATGTCCAACTTCTTTTACCACGTAGCTCAAAAAGTGATTCGTGACCGAAAATAGCACAACTTGCTCAACATTGATTGTGAGCCAATCTACGTCCACTCAACTCGGAAACTGTGCGCACGGACGCCAAGCCTGAACAGATTGACAATGATGTTTTTCTTTGTCTTGAACGCCGCATGGTCTATGGGGTGGCAGGACTTGAAGGATGTTGCTATGGCGTCATGCATGTCTGCACGAAGCAGCCTGCGCATCTTCGCGGGCGTTTAGCTCAGAACCTCAGAACCTAGGTCTTAGGTCTTCAGAAGGGCAGGGCTGTGATCTGCGCCTAATGCTCTTCAAAAAGGCTATTTCAGTTCAAAACCCTATACAGGTGTGAAACACTCCCCCCTTACGGAAACTTTTTTGCCACTCTACGACCTGCCAATCGCGTGTCATAAATGTTGCTTAGTCATAAAGCTACGCGTCACGTTATACTACTGTTTGGCGATGTGAAACGTCGGTGGCCACTCTAACCGCAACCCCTCAGCACAGTTACTATTTTTCGTTGGAGGAGGGTAGGAAAAAGTAATGGAAGTTCGCTCCCCTGTGTCCCGTCTCCGCGGCTGCACCCGGTCCGATTCTTTCTTTCGTTGCGGTGCGCTGAGCTGTCGAGGAGTCCTTTATTTGATTGGTTTGCGCGCTCAGCTTCCAGTTACTTGGCCATACAGATAGATAAAAGCTCCCGCAATTACATTACGTGTGCAGTGGTCACAGCCGCCGGGCACGACTAAAAGTAATTTTAACTTGGACGCCACAACTTTGCAGATTGTCGCTGCGCCCAGCATTGAATGAGACGCCGCCGGGGAGTCGACCGAGTACATCGGATGCCCTTATCGGATAGGTGTGCTGTAATGGCAGCTGATGGCCTTTTAGCAGCGTTATCGAATGTACACATTCGCACTCTTCGCGCGACATTGTAAATATTTCTCCCGGCCTGCCGCACGCTGGCCATCACGCTACGGGCCGGCCGACAGTAATTAGTAATGCGCCGTCAAGGCGGGTGGGGGATCTAATCAAACGGGTCATGTCGGCCAGTAAGCAGCTTATATTGCCGACCGATATGGCTCTCACAATGGCATCGTATCAATGTGTTCGCACCCGCCGCGCACGTGGGCGGGGTTGACGGAACTGGATAGATGGAGAAGTGTGCTGGAGTGGCAGCTTGCTAGCCCTACATCAGCACTGTCGGATGCACACAATAGCATTGCAAGCCCGCGATTATAAGCATGTTTAGCGTTCCGTTGTATGCTAGCCATCACAACGAGTCGGCCAACCACATTTAGTACTGCGCCGTCGAGGGTTAATTTGAACCAAAAAAAGCCTCGCCGCCGGATGAGCCGCGTTACACTCCCAGCCGGTGGTCTCCCAATAATGACATTGTATGCGCATGACAGCACCCGCCACGCAGGAATACCAGTTTTCTCGAAGTCCTCTGAATGTCTCCCAACTTTGATTTAGGAGAAACCCCATTGCACCTGCCTGCTTAACACTGTGAAAGTAAGTGCATTTCATCTACCTTGCTGTTTCCAACATGTGCACTCTGTAATATTCGCAACATACTTATTTGTCAAAATATTTGTGTACTTAATCCGCAAAAGTTTGAAACACTTTCGTCAAAGAAGACATGCGCACATGGAAGCGTATCTCGTAAGTTAAACGGAATGTTGCACTATGGCTTTTATTTCTCCTCTGTGGCGCTTGCTATAAGAAGTTGCTTTCGAGGACGCACTTTGGCTTCGGGAAACGAGGTATCACATGGTCTTTCGTGGACGCACTGACCCAAAATTTCAGCCAATGCACTTCTCGGTAAACTGGCCTTTGCCGCTCGCTGTGCCACCACAAACGTTCGTTTGTACTGGCGTCATTCAGCAACAGCTGACAGCGAGTCCCCCTCCCCCCCCCCCCCCCAGCACATTCTGCCGACGTCATGACGACGGCTGTTGGGACTACAGAGAAGAAGCGTAGTGCTGTTGCAAAGCGTTGGCAGCGTGATTCGGCCACTGAAAATAAGCCACAATTGATGTTCTCATTATGTCTTGATGGCACTTGCGATGGCGCTAAACAGTGCTATTATTAAGCTAACTTGGTCCTGAGGCTTTACTAGACCATATTTTTGGAATATGTCCAAAACGTGGGACACAAGTTTTTTCCGAAATGAGTTCTGCGCCAAACTAGAGCTATAGCGTACTGAACATCCGATCTTATGATACAAAACAAAATTAGATATGGCGCCTTGGTTTGCTGACCTATGGCAGGTCAAAGTCGAGCTATGACTGTCAGCGAAGGCGATACAATTTAGGATTACGTTCAACTCCATTGAAATGGGATCAGGTATGGAGATCAGATCAAAAGCTCTTGAGGTGGCTTTTGACGTTCATTTCAAAATCCTTGATCACAAGGACGCCAAAAGACACTTAGCTCGGCTTCACCAAGGCCAGAGAAGGTCACTGACCTAAAATGACACCTAGGGACCTTTTGCTTTGAGTAACATGGCGCTCGGGGTAGTCCTCGACGCTGAATTGGAATTCAAATATAAAAGCACTCCCGGGTCTGACCATAGCCAAAAGCTATTCAGCCTACACCAAACGGTTCGGCAAACAGCGAAACCTATTTCTAATATGCATATGATGTAAAACAATGTCCATTGATTTGCAATTCCAACTGGGGAATTTTGAATTTTTCTAAGCCACTCAGAAATGAAGTAATACACATCTAGCTGCGAATATCAAACCACTGCACAAATATTTACCAAAGCTTCCGTTTGAGAATGATACCCTGTTCTCGATTACGATTGCCTGAGTTTCAGAACACGTGTTAACAGCCTGCAATGAACACATCTGCGGTAAAAAGGGTCAGTGGGATTGGCCATGGAAGGTGGTTTAGTCGGCGTTTACCTGGTGGATTCGGGGGAATGCTCTCGCGATGGTCAGTTTCATAATGAAATACGTGGCCACGACCGCAGTCAGTGGAGGAAGCGACAGCGGCTGAAGCGTGTGGCAGCTTTAGCGAGCTGTAGCTTTAAGTTACGGTGCGTGCGCCAGGTGGTCTATTGGTGCAGCCGTGAATGTAAAAGTGTTATATGACATTAATGTTGCTTTCGGTGCAACACGAAAGACGCATCTCAGCACGGCATGACAGGGTTGCTCCCGAGCACATACCGGCACGGCACGACAGGGTCGCTCCCGAACACATACCAGCGCAGCATGATAGGGTCGCCCCCGAACACATACCGGCACAGGATGACAGAGTTGTTTCCGAACACATACCAGCACGGCATGACAGGGCTGTTCCCGAACACATACCGGCACGGCATGACAGGGTCGCTCCCGAACACATACCGGCACAGGATGACAGGGTCGCTCCCGAACACATACCGGCACGGCATGACAGGGTCGCTCCTGAACGCATACCGGCACGGCATGACAGGGTCGCTCCCGAACACATATAGGCACAGGATGACAGGGTCGCTCCCGAGCACATACCGGCACGGCATGGCAGGGCCGCTCCCGAACACATACCGGTAGGGCATGACAGGGTCGCCCCCGAACACTGGGAAGCCGACGGTGCTGGCACCTACCGGCCGGCGTGGGCGTGCCGCCGGAGGTCCCTCCAGGCACCGCAGTCGAACGATCGATGCCCGGTGCCCATCATGCAGACATGCATTAGCCATGAGCACACGGAGCGAACTAACTTGGCTTGGATCGGCCATCCGGCTTCCCGGCTACCTCGCCGTGACCAAAGCACTAACATCACTTTGATAGAGCGAAGTCATGAGGCTTCAAACGCGCAGGGACGCGAAGCAGGGACGCAGGGACGTGAAGCAGAGACACAGGGACTCAAACGAGCAGGGACACGAAGCAGGGGCGCAGGGACGTTAAACGAGCGGGGACGCGAGGCAGGGACACGAGGATGTTAACATGCGCTCGGTTGGGGGTCAAACCGATCCCCAAAGGTTTCTCCAGAATAGTTTCCGAACGGCGCGGCGTAGCCGCGCCAAATTTGCGTAACTCTGGAAAATTAAATAGCAGATCGTTTCAGATAAAAAATTTAGGTTTACCTTGAAAGGTCGTTGACCTATGGCAGGTCAAAATCAGGCCATGGTCTCAGCGAAGGCAATTTCTAGGGAATCGCCCGATCTGATACAATAACGGAGTGTTTGACGAAGCCATACATCTCTGAGATGCTTTCTTAGACACCGCAAATATTAAATGAGCAAATTGCGTTGACCTACGGTCAGGTATGAAGGTCAGGCCAAGGTCACAACCAGCCTGATTTATTACTCTAGGGCTTGCTGTATGGGGTAGGTTGTGGTGCTCATTTAGAATTTATTGACGGCAAGAAGCGCATTATGCATCTTCCATTGACTTCTCAGAATTCAGAAAAGATCATTGACCTAAGATGACCCGGGTCGGCATTTTGTTTTAGGAACATGCTGCCTGGCGAAACTTTGTCGCCTATTCAAATGCAAAACTCGAAGCAGTCTTGAATGATTTTGGTCACCATGACCTTCAAAAAGTCAAAAAACGTCACTGACCTCAAATCGGCATTGAGCTTTTGCTTATAAACAGTTGCCTAGGTTCTGTGGGCACTTTGCAGACCAACCTGGAATGTGACGTTGTTTGACCTTATTTGACCTAAAGGTCATGACCTAGAGAGCTCAAACTTTGACCTAAGTGAGTTCGCGTACAGGTTAAGACACCCTGAAAATTTGGTATTTCTAGCTTTTTAAGTTCCTGAGATCTCAGGGGGTGAAATTGACCCCCCCCCCCCCCCACCCGAGCGAAGGGTATCTGGCCGGCAACCCGGGCGCGTATGAAACGAGCAGGGACACGAAGCAGGGATGCAGGGGCGTGACGCAAGCGCGTGTGTATCTGCAGCACATTATGCTACTGCTCTCATCCACTTGGCTCGGGATTACCAGCCGTCCGCAGCAGCGACGGGTGATAGTGGTGGTAGTCAGATGGTGGCGGCCCTGGCTCAGTGAGAGTCCCACGAACATTTTGAGCACCAAAAGTCAACGCACAGTAAAACAAGAATAGAAGTTCCATGCCGTGGTTGTCTCCTCAGAGGCGGCGACATTCGCTTCACAGGCTGAGTTCCATGCCAGGGCCAGCTTCTCAGAGGCGGCGGCATTCCCTTCACAGGCTGCTTCACTGAAACTCGAGCTGAGGCAACGTGCTCCGGCAGAAACAGTAAGTGTTCCCTGGTCTTTGAGGGGCAGCCTACTGGGATGATGTCCCGGGGGACGTGTAAGCGAGTTGTGTTGAAGTTGACAAACACGCCTACGGCGCTGCGTGCAATGGCCGTGAATAAGCCCGCTCCCTCCAACTCTCCTCTGGGCTCAGGCTCGTCGGCCGCTGGCACTGCGGCTGCGGACTTGTCCGCCACTGACGGCCGCGGCTCACGCCGTCTCCTTTCTGCCTTTCACAGCGTGGTGATGGAGGAGCTCGGGTTGTTATCAGGGGATGAAGGCAACTCCCTGTCCACCCGGAGCTTTGGACAAAAACATTCGCCACATGCATTGAATGTATATTTGCGTAATGTTAAAAGCAAACGATGAATAAGTTATACACCATATCTGACAACCTGCCGCAAATAGCCTTTTATGTGTTTAGCCGTTAGCAAGATTTCTTGATGTAACGGCCGTCAATTGGCTCTCAATCAATGTTGTACAAGACGACGATGTAATCAAATAATGACGTTTTGAGTAGCATATTTACTAACCAGAGAAATGGTGTTGTCTAGAACAGTTTTTTCCACTTGAAAGCATTCCAGTAGCTATAGGTGAGCTTGTTTCATCATACCTGATACTTGCTTCAGTACCAACCAATGTGGAACATTCCCTTCAATGTAAGAACAAGGTGGTAGTTGCGTAGCCTAGCCGTAGCCTGAACTATGCCGCTGTCCAAAGTTGCGCACGTGTCGACAGTTACGTCTTCCGCCTCCCGTATCTGATATATCTGGGTGACTTACTTCAAAGAAAAGAAGATTGCTCACAAAAGCAACATCAGCACGCCAAACCGGCACGAGGAACAAAACATGGGCGAACTGGCCGCACACACGAAGATTACGTTACCGCAATCCTCTTCTGAGCTGGAGGTATCCCAGTGGATGTGAACCGGATAATGAGCATATCCAGGCGCTTGCCACGCGACCACAGATTGGAAAGGATACTCATAAGACATGTGACATGTGATATGTTCGAAGTGCACGCGCATCCCTCCCAATCTGACGTCGGCAAGGCCCGCGCCAACACTTGCATACTACCTGACTAACCCGCACCTGGATCCCTTCAGCCCAGGCGCAGCTTGGAAACACCGCCCAAGTCACAGCGCGCCGGTCTTGGCGGCAAACGACACGGCACGGCACACGAACGCAGCTCAACAAACGACACGGCTCGACAAACGACACGGCTCCGCCGGACAGGCGTGCAGCAGCTACCGCGCCGCGGCCTGGCACCGCGTCACACAGCAAAGAGATGAACACACGGAGGAGCGGCCACATCGAGCCGCGTGGGCCAGCGGTCGGCGACGGCAACGACAGCCAAGCGGCGGGGCACGAGCGGGCGGCGAGCGGGAGCAGTCGGCGATCGGGGGGGGGGGGGGGGGGAGGAGGGTCGTGGTGTCCGAGCAGGGGGACGTGACGTCAGTGACGTTGATCGGAGGACGGCGCCGCCGTCGAGGACAGCAGGGATGGGGAGCAACGCAGGGTAGAGGTGATACCGACCGGCGGCCGGGAGTCGAGCGACCATGTCGGAGCAGCCGTGCCACCCTCGGCACTGAGCTTGACTCTGGGCTACAGGGCCCAAGCAGAAGAGATGACAGTGCGTAATACTGATAACGGGTGGTCGCCGAGATTAAACAGCGCATTGGACGACGAAGAACATGACGTGAAGACAGTGGTTACGAAACAACACAGATACCCATTTTGAAAACGTCGAACGCTTCAATGCGCAGATGAAAAGATACCAGGAACCAAAACATACACATCCTTCTAGACAACGTATTATACGATAACACAAAATACAACATTGGGCTGGCTGAGCCATCGCAACGCCTGCGTCGCTCTGCGAAGCCTTTGCCAATTACGTGGCCACTGATCCCGACAAAGTTTGACATTACACGTCAGTGCCTCGGTGCAGCGCGCTCCTGCTCTGGACTGGGGCATCAGCGCCCAACTGGTGTGTCCCCCACCAGCGGTCAGTGGTTAACGGCGGTCCAGTCCAGCGGCCGGCCAGCCGTCCAGCTGGTGTATCTTCCACCAGCGGTCAGTGGCCAGCGGCGGTCCAGTCCAGCGGCCGGCCAGCACGTCCAGCTGGTGTATCTTCCACCAGCGGTCAGTGGCCAGCGGCGGTCCAGTCCAGCGGCCGGCCAGCCGTCCAGCTGGTGTATCTTCCACCAGCGGTCAGTGGCCAGCGGCGGTCCAGTCCAGCGGCCGGCCAGCACGTCCAGCTGGTGTATCTTCCACCAGCGGTCAGTGGCCAGCGGCGGTCCAGTCCAGCGGCCGGCCAGCCGTCCAGCTGGTGTATCTCCCACCAGCGGCCAGCGGCCAGCGGCGGTCCAGTCCAGCAGCCGGCCAGCCGTCCAGGTGGTGTATCTTCCACCAGCGGTCAGTGGCCAGCGGCGGTCCAGTCCAGCGGCCGGCCAGCCGTCCAGCTGGTGTATCTTCCACCAGCGGTCAGTGGCCAGCGGCGGTCCAGTCCAGCGGCCGGCCAGCCGTCCAGCTGGTGTATCTCCCACCAGCGGCCAGCGGCCAGCGGCGGTCCAGTCCAGCAGCCGGCCAGCCGTCCAGGTGGTGTATCTTCCACCAGCGGTCAGTGGCCAGCGGCGGTCCAGTCCAGCGGCCGGCCAGCCGTCCAGCTGGTGTGTCCTCCACCAGCGGTCAGTGGTCAACGGCGGTCCAGTCCAGCGGCCGGCCAGCCGTCCAGCTGGTGTGCCCTCCACCAGCGGTCAGTGGTCAACGGCGGTCCAGTCCAGCGGCCGGCCAGCCGTCCAGCTGGCGTATCTTCCACCAGCGGTCAGTGGCCAGCGGCGGTCCAGTCTAGCCGCCGGCCAGCACGTCCAGCTGGTGTATCTCCCACCAGCGGCCAGCGGCCAGCGGCGGTCCAGCCTAGCGACCGGCCAGCACGTCCTCGAGACTGGCGCCGGGCACGCCCAGGAACAGCTTGACCTCGGCGTGGCCGCTGGGCATGCAGTGAGGAGGACAGCTGTCCAGCTGCTGCGCGATGCGCTTCATTTTCTGGCGGAGGAGGGCGCGGGTTAACGTAGGCGGAGCCCCAAGCGGCAGCGGGCGAGGGTCATGTGATCGGGTAACGGCAAAACGTCACTGCCGCCCTGCTGCGCGGCGAATATGTAAACCAGGCGGCGGGCCCGGTCCCGCTGACGCAAAAGAGCGCACCCTAACGTGAACTTGATGCTGTCAGGTGTTGATGGGGCGTCTTAAGTGGGAGCCGTTTCTGCGGCCCCACCAACCAGACAGCGGCACTGTACTTTACTTGTTAGGAAGGCGGACCCTCACTAAGCGGCCCTCCATGACCCATTCAAATTAAGTGAAAGAGCTGACATCATGGAATTACCCGGCACCCCTATTATACATATATATATATATATATATATATATATATATATATATATGTATACATATATATTATTATTATATATACATACATATACATATATATGTATTATATATATATATATATATATATATATATATATATATTATATATATACATATATATATATATTATTATTATATATACATACATATACATATACATAAACATATACATATATATGTATTATATATATATATATATATATACACATATATATATATATATACATATACATAAACATATACATATATATATATATATATACACATATATATATATACATATACATAAACATATATATATATATATATATATATATATATATATATATATATATATATATATATATATATATATATATATATATATGGGTGCCGGTAGTTTAGTGGTTAACGCGTCTGCGTTAACTGCAGCGCGTCTGGGAAACCAGAGGCACGGGGTTGGATTCCCCGTGGTACCCGCCCTTCCTGCCACGGTGAGAGGCAGACGACGCCATATAGCCTCAGCAGCTGAGTGCGTCGTAAAGCCCCAATGACATACACAAAGTTATTATCGTTTATGCGTTCTTAACTAGCCAGATGCCTCAATTATTTGCCTATAGTGAGGCAAACTTGCCAGCCTTGCAAGATGAAAACACGCAAGTGGATACTCCGAGTAATAATACCGATTACAGAAATGAGAAATCGTAGCTTTTCGTGGAAAACCGGAAACGACAACAGAGCAGCTCAGAGCTACGACTGGCACGGAGTGGGTTGGTGCCCTGCCTCACCGTTCAGCGTTGTGCTCAGCATGTTCACGTCAAGCACGTTGGCGGTTCGCCGAGCCCATGTCTTTCAGGAAGTTTTCGCCGTGGGGTGTATTCAGAAAAGGACAAAATGTGAAAAAGTGAAAGCTTGAAGTGACTCTGTTATTGGTGCTTTTCTACAATACGTGCGGGGAATTTCAACACTTTTGGGGAAGGGATCATCTTCATTTGATGCTGCCTAGCACGCCAAACTTCAGTCGATTATGCTCACCATTTCAAAATGTTGTCCGATGGTAGCACATACCGAAGGGCACGGCTAGCCCCGGTCGGTGTGCATGGTATCCATTGGCCATTCGGTATCAGCATCAGAACATTGGAAACCATCCACAAAGCGGCTATGACGGTTTCAGGCCATGGTCATGCCCCAAATTACATACTTAAAAGTGCGGTATGAAAAGGCACATACTAAATATATGCAATTACATGATGCTAACAATGCTCAAGGATACGTAAGTTAAGTGCATTTGCGAAGAACACTATGCATATAGAGAGTGCCGTATTTATAGCCGTATATCTCATGGAATAACCAGGATAATGGGGAGTAGATGTGTTGATACTTCGGCTGCATGCCTACATGCAGGTAGCCGATACCATTCTGTATTATTGTGGTATATGCAATTATTCTACGAGAAATGAGATCATTAGTACTGTCATTCAGTGGTCACAAAGTTGAAACGGACCTTTCTATGCACTTTGGGCCGGATCGGATCAGTGGTAAAAGTCACATCACGTATGGAGGTTTTAAACGCGTTCAAAGCGGTTCCAGACAGCTGCGGCCCGATGCGAAAACGCCCTCTGTGTGGCATTCAATCGGTGTCTGGGCACGCTAATCCTTTAGCGCTCTAAACATTTAATCACGTCGCGGTGCGCCACCGTAGCCTCAACCCTCGGTCATTCAAGGGACTTTAGAGCCGAAGTTATGTGATGGTGCTTTTGGAGCCCGTAATTGCTGTTGAGGCAAAGATGATTGTTTCTCTTTTGATTTTGTGTTTCTCTTGGACGCCCCGCCTCAACGTGCAGGCAGTACGTGTTATGAGGGAAGATGTGCGCCTACATGACGCTTAATTTAATTTTAATAATAATTTTGACTTGAAGTAATCACGGAATGTGTATAAAGATACGAAAATGCCATTGCATTTTTCGTGACGCTCGAGACATGGGCATCCCATGGCAGACCGCAGTCAACTATGACATGGGCATCCCATGGCGGACAGCACTCAACTTTGACATGGGCATCCCATGGCAGACCGCAGTCAACTATGACGCCGACAATTTTGATGCGTCTTGGTGTGTCCACAGTCGGATGGATTGCTGATGGGATGGTGGCGATCATGATGCACACATGTATCATCATCAAACTGCTCACATGATTATGCAGTCAAACTGGAGGTCAGCCGACTTTGTGAATTTTGCTTGACCCAACGAGCATATAAGCAGTTTTCTTTTCGTCTATTTGGAGGGAATTCGCACTGTGCGAGTTCTAAAGTTCACGCATGATACGTTCCAGCCTGGTTTTGAGGTCGCTGATGACCCGGTCCGTCCGGGGATGCGCAGGCCACGTGCATGGTGCCGTCAGCGTAAGAGATGAGGCGGCCATGATTCAAGTGTCCATATAGATCGTTGGTAAACAAAATAAACGTAAAGGACAAGCCATGGGGAACACCGCATGACATGGGGAGTGTGAGCCGTCCTCCACACCCCACCTGCCCTCGACCACTCAAATAGCTCTTAAACCATCCCACATCAGTAACGCCATACCAAGATGGCTTGACGAGGACGACGTCGTGGTCGACGCTATCGAACGCCTTTGACAGAACGATCGTCCTTACCGACGATACAAGACCGTTACCGGTGTTGGCTACCAGGCGTCCGACTGCGGCGAGCGTGGCATCCTCGCTTATGTGGTGCGTCCTATGCCATACCGGGATGGATGCAGCATCCCCGTCGCGTTCAAATATTCCGTTAGCTGATAAGACAGTAGTACTAGCCTTATTCCTCGGCGAAACACCTCATAGTTTTTCTCCGAGAAATAAGGCTAATGCTACTGTCTTATCTATGTAAATAATGTCCCTCGCTAATGCATTGAACAATTTACATTCCGTTAGCTGCGTGCAAGCGGCCTTTTCTAAGACCAATGGAAGCCTTTCTGACACATGAGTGTCGCTATCGCGGCTGATAATATTCGTACCTGCAAGCTGAAATTTATTTCAAGCGGCTTGCTTTGTCTTGATTTTACGTTTCTAACGTAGGGACCTGTTCCACATAAGTGTGGGGAGCATTGCTGTCATTCCTCCTGTCAGTGGTTTGTGCATCCACAGCGAAAATGTTTGAATGAATAACTACACATTGCCTTATGTTATTGCATTAGAAATGTCAGCAGTCTGAATAGGGATGTCGACATCCTAGATTCGGGATCTTACCACGCTATTTAGAAACGCCGTTCATTTTGGTTCTTAAATGTTTTCTTAGCGACTTTCTGCAGTGTTAATCGGTCACAAATTGCGTTGTGATCAAAAACACTTATCATCATTAGCGAAATACATATTCAAGGCATTTTATTCGAATAAATGCTGAGCTCCGTGAAAAGAATCAATCTTCCTTTGATTTCGAACAAAGTTAGTAAAAAGGTTCTAATCAAGCCTGATTCATCGCGAGTTTGGTTTGAACTTTTGAGTAGATTCTGACCCTGAATCACATCGGACACAAGTCTCATCACTTAACTTTACGAGACGCTTCAGCAGTGCGGCGAGCCAAATAACACTCTTTCCAATCATCGCCCGGGCTTGAGTCGTCTGGGACCCGGCTATCCATGCTCGTGTTAAAGGTAGGGAAGGATGACGCCCCGAGCAGAGCATCGCTCCTCCTGCGCCTGAGGCCTTTGACCTGTCATCTCAGAGCGCTCCTCCTGCACCCGAGGTCAGTGAACTGTCATCTCAGAGCGCTCCTCCCGCACCCGAGGTCGGTGACCTGTCATCTCAGAGCGTTCCTCCTGCACCCGAGGTCAGTGAATTGTAATCCAGAGCCCTCCTCCCGCACCCGAGGCCAGTGAGTTGTAATCCAGAGCCCTCCTCCCGCACCCGAGGTGAGTGACCTGTCATCGCCGAGCGCTCCTCCTGCGCCCGAAGCCTGTGACCTGTCGTCGCCCACACCAGGTGGCCGCCCCGGCCCAAGTCAGGCAAGGAGCCAAAGCCTGCGATCGAAGCCGTGGGAAGCAGGGGTCACAAGGGTCACGGGCCTCCCACCTCCCATGAAACTTAACGGCAGCGGTGACGCATGTACAAGATAGAAAGAGCTTACTTTAAAAAGGCGCTTGGCCCATTCCCTTCTTAAGACATTGTAACCTGCGCGTGTTACGGTCAGCAGCAGGATGGCAGCCGCGGCCGTGAGCTACAGCCGTCGGCCCACGACACGAGCGGGGTAAGGCCGGCTCGCTGCTCACCTTGCAGTTGTGGCGCGAGGCTACCTGGTGGTCCACTATGCGGCACGGGTAGTCCTCGCCAACGACACAGCCGGCCTCGCGCTGCACCTCCAGTGGCGCCTCCCACGGCGAGAAGACGTACTCGGTGGGCATGCGGCGCAGCTCCGGCACGTACCGCCTGCGGGCAGGGGCGCGGCCGGTCGGACGTCGGGTTGGCGGCGGGCCCGGAGGTGCCCCAGCCGGGCGGCGCGCGTGTACAGCCGGCGGTCGACAGACTGCCGTTTTGGGGGCAGCAAAAGGTCTTGCTCACAGTCCCCTCTACAGTCGGTGCAACTACCCCGTCAGCCAACGGCGCTCTTAAAATGACGCACGAAAAGGTCTAGAAAAATCACCGCGAGGAAAACAGTTGCACTCAAAGCTGCTGTGGAAGAAAATGTCGCGGTATCATCGATGAATTTGGAACTAAGATTGCGGAAAAGCTTACGTATATATATATATATATATATATATATATATATATATATATCATACATCGTCACAGTGAGACAACTTGAGGGGGCGTGGGCCAAGCGAGGTGAAACAGCCCTGGCAGCTACCATTCGCTGCCACGCAGCCCAAGCTAATGCATCCAGGCGCTTCGCGGAACTCATAACAATGGGCCACGGACCTGATGTACTCCCCGGTGGGCTCGAACATGCGGCCGTACGCGACCGGCGAGATGATGTCCGAAGTGTCGAGAAACTTCTCGAAAGCCGAGGACGAGACCCACATCCAATTGCCGGCGCTCACCGACCAATCAGCGTCGAGCAGATGCTCGTAAAACACCTGCGAGACGGCGGCCCGTTAGGGCATTGGCAACATGGAGCGAAAAATGACGCCCCGTCGGAGCGACTGCTGGTGGAACATGATCATCACCGAATCGCAAAGGCTCTCAGGTGACACTGTGTGGACGACTTCTGACCCGACGCATGTCCAAGTGATGTGTGATTTTATCTATGTGCCTACTTAAGTTCTGGTGGACGTCTCAGAACAAACCGTTGGGCCTTAGCTCGAGGCAAGCCGATATTCCCTTGTGGCTATTACAGTTAGCTCCCTTCTGGCGTATTGTTGTGGCTATCGCGAAAAGAAGAGAATCGATTCGACAACCAAGCTAATTAATATAACTTAGTATAACTTATTTTGAGCATTTTTAAGGATAATAGGAGCCTGGCACAAAGGGTTCGCGCAAAATGGCTTATGTTCTTATCTAAGCGCTAACTTACCCGACACCACACGCAGCGACGTTTTGAAGAAAACACGCTTCATACATGGCAGTCTGCAGTTATGCAGACAGCCGACGGCTCATCCTGATCACATCCGGCTCATCCTGATCACATCCAGCTCACCCTGATCACATCCGGCTCATCCTGATCAGATACCATTTAACACACAACGGGAAAACACAAACGAGCGCCGCACACAGGCCGTCGCCCGGGTCCGGTCCGTCGTCCGCTGGCCCTGGTCTGGTCCAAACCAGACCAGACCAGACCACTGACAGGCCCGACTGTGTGGCCCGTCAGTGGTCTCGACCAACGAACGAGACCGACCCGCGGCCGGTGCGAGCGGGCCGGCCGATCAACTGGCCTGTAGTCCGTCGACCCAGCTGATCCAGAGGTCGCCGCGGGTCAGGAAGCAGCTGGCGGCGTTGCGAGCCACGTGGTGGATCCAGCCCTCCTGCCGGGCGGCGGCGGCGGACGCTGAGCGCACCGCGCCGTCGGCAGTGGCGGCGCTGGCTCAGCCGGCTCAGGCCACCCGACGCCGTGGAGGTGACACACGCTCCCGCACCCGCGCGCGCGCGCGCGCGCCCACATACACACACACACACACACACACACACACACACACACACACACACACACACACACACACACACACACACACACACACACACACACACACACACACACGCACACATCCACACACACCCTCCCCGACACACAAACGTGAGGCGAACACCATCCCGCCGGCGTCCGATGGGTACGGGACGGGCCGCTACAGCGTCGGCGCCAGACGGGGTGACAGCCGAAGGACTGGAGAGGACCGGGAGACAGCCGGAGGACTGGAGAGGACCGGGAGACAGCCGGAGGACTGGAGAGGACCGGGAGACAGCCGGAGGACTGGAGAGGACCGGGAGCGAGAGGACGTGCTGAGACGAAACGGGAGCAGGTTCGGGAGACGTGCCGCGACGGCATGTGAACACACTTCTCCACTGACGGTCACACCCGGCAGCTGACGTCACGCCCGGTCGGCTAACGCGCAAGCCCGACACCGAAAATGCAAACACCCGCGCACATGTCATCCCGCGTGACAGCACACCGGTCCTGCAAAACGCATCCATCAACTGGTGGACCACTTTCCAACGACGTTGGTCGGCGTGTTGGGCCGGTCGTTGCGACTCGAGCACACGAGGCGGCCGGGCCGGCGGCGGCGCTGAGCGCGAGCGGCGGCCCACCTGCACCAGCTGGCGCATGGCGGCGTCGATGAACGGGTAGCCGGTCTGCCCCAGCGTCCACTGCTTCAGCTGGCGCGCGTCTGACCGCCACCTGATGTTCAGGCAGATCGGGTTCGGCTCCATCTGATGCGGCAGGAGGCAACAACAGCTGTCGGTGTTGATGAATGTGGTTGGGTTAGATGGTGGCAAAAAGGACTTTTGGACTTGGAAATGTGTTTGACTCATTCACAAGAGGGTCTGGCACGAGCGAGGTTTCACCACCTCACCTACCACACCAACGAGTCAGAAGTTTGCTGCAGAGGCGGAGGCATGGTATCAGGATCGAAGACGGAGGCACGGTGCCACGGTCGAGACGGGAGACACGATGGCAGGGTCGGGGGCGGGACACGATGTTATGGTCGATGGTGTAGACGCAGTGCCAGTGTCAGGGAGGTGTCTGCTGGTCGACAGTGCGGCTCTGTACGAGCTCATGCGCGCCTGGCCATTGCAGGGGTTATATGTGAACTCAGTGCCGCAGAATTAATGCTCACCGTGTCTAAGGAGGGACCATCGGCGATTACGACGTAAAAGAACTCCCGATCATATAATCACAGAAGGCTGTTTTCACTGACACGGTGTAGAACAACTCACGTTCACCTGATCGTAGCAGGGGTTATCTGCAGACATGGTGTGGAACTCGCGCTCACCTGATCGTAGTAGGGGTTGTTCACGGACATGGTGTAGAAGAACTCACGCTCACCTGATCGTAGCAGGGGTTATCTACAGACATGGTGTGGAACTCCCGCTCACCTGATCGTAGTAGGGGTTGTTCACGGACATGGTGTAGAAGAACTCTCGCCAGATGAGCTGCAGGCAGATGCTCAGGGAATGGCCGTTAACGTCCATGATGGCCCGGAACACCTTCTGCAGCATGTGGTACATCCTGCCGGCGTCACCGACTGGGATGAAGTCACTGCTCACATCGCCGCCTTCACTCGACTTTTGCTTCGAAGCTGCAGACACGATGCTACGATGGAAAATGATAAGTATGCGAACTTAAGAAAGCTAATAGCAATAAAATGCATGTAACATGTATCATTATGTTCGATGTCTTGGTACTTTTCTGTGGCGCGTCACGAACAATGCTCGCCGGAATGATTGCATGCAACTTTTTGGGTTTATTACCTATACGTTTGTGTTTTCTTGTTGTGAAAATGGTTATAACTATATTGGGACTGCATTTATAATTGTGCGAATTCCTGTTCATATTTGTGACGATAAATACACAAATGGCCCAAAAAAGCATATCAAATACATGCCATCTAGCTCAACAGCGACAGAAATACCCTATAAAATTTGCGTTTATAACGCCGAACTTATAAACGGTTATTAGGTGGAACACCGCGTGTTGAAGAGTTGACACAATTCTTACATGCATTGTGATTACGTAATGCAGAACCCTGCACTAGCTCGTCTCGCCGATTCTGCGAGTGGAAAAACCGAAATCACGGCCTGCGCGCTATGAACCAGTGTCACGTCGATCAGGGAGTTTTGTTCCGGCAATGTACCCGAATCAGTATCACAATACCTGATGTCCCGAAAACAAACAGGCACACTGGCGTTGCAAGCTGCACAAAATCCAGCCTGAATGCTTGGTGGGTAATGCTCACCTTTCGTGTAGCGAGCCCCTGCCACATCCTCCCTAATCCGCTAGTATTTCCTCGCTCCCCTCCAACCTGAACGCTCGTAGCACCCGTCTTACCGAGGCGAACCGCGACCACGCGTGGCCCTCTGAATGGTTCTGTGCAAGGTTCCGCACGAGACACTTTGCGGCGTCCCGAATAAGGTGCTATGCACGGGCTCACCTGCGGACAGAGAGACAGCCGTGGCGCAGGTAGGCGGACAGGCTGCGCGGCGGCCCCAGCAGGTCCGGACAGTACTGGTTGGGCATGATGATTCCGCGGCTGAGCGCCGCCTCCTCGTAGGCGATGCGCTCGCCCAGCAGGTACAGGGCGTGCGTCTCGCCGCCCACGTAGCGCTTCTGGTGCTCACCGGCCGGAGGCGACAGGGGCTTCAGGTCCGCCACCGCCGGCACGCGCGGAAACAGCTGAGGAGGCGGGAAGCGCGGCCGTGTCCGGGGTCAGGGGGAGGGGGAGCACGGCCATGTCCGGGGTCAGGGGGCAGACACACGGCGAAGGCTCGGCCCGTGGGAGAAATGCCAGACCGCACGCTGAGCAGACGGCGGCTACGGAGGCATAAGGTATGCCTGAGAAACAAGTGATCGCCGGCGGTTGGTCTGTTCACCGTCTGTTTCGGTTGATCTTGCCACACAAAGTCCGCAGGGCGTGAGCACGTCCGCGCCGCGGGGCGTCACTGACCTCGACGGGGTGCCCGTGCGGCCGGTCCGTGTCCACGCGCGCCAGCTGACGCGAGTCCAGCGGCGCCGCCTGCACCGGCGGCGGCGGCAGACCGATCGACATGGCCACTTGCTGCAGCGGCCGCACCGCCGGCGGCGGCGGGGTGGGGTTAGCGACAGCGAGCGCAGGCGGGTGGACGTGGGGAGCAGGTACACGGCGCTAGCGGTCGCACGAGACAGGAGCTTCAGGCAGGTGGGCGCAGTGTCAGCAGCATGCGCCGACGGCCATATCCGGCATGGACATGGCCAGCAGCCAAACGAAGCCGTCTGATTCACAGGTCAACACGACACATGCCCTGAGCTGTGAGGCGGGCAATGCAAGATGTCGTCGCCTCTCAGCACCGGCCGTGCTCGAAGGCCGGGGGACAGAGCGCGCTTCCCCGACCGCCGCCCCGATCTGCGCCGCCGCTCGCCCAGTCCAACGCTTCCCAGCGCCGGCCGTGCCCGAGAGCCGATGACAGAGGGCCTCGTCCCCTGCCGTCGACCCGGTCGGCGCCGCCGCGCGACTGACCCCGCGCCGCCCGGCCCGGCGCCCGCCACTCACGTGGAACATGGCGAAGGTGAGCGGCGGCTCACCGCCGTTGGCGTCGATCACCTCGGCCGGGTCCCAGAGCGTGTGCGAGATGCGCTCGATGATGGTGACGCCTTGCTGCTGGCACCAGGCGCGCACCCGGTCGTCCCGCGGTAGCCACACAGGCTCGCAGTCCTAGCCGGGTGAGACGCTGCCGTTAACGCCCGCAGGATGTAGGAGGGATGAAGGGGGTGGGGGTGGGTGGGGGGGGGGGGGGGGACCGCACACGCGCGGACGGTCCAGCAGCGCGTGTCGCTTGACAGCCAAAGGGTGTCAAGCACAGCACGCTAGTCAGCCCACCGATGTCGTCTCAGCACTGGGGAGGGTCCTGGCATGCTCCACTATGGGCATGGACCGGCGCCGGCTTCCGGCTTGCTTGGAGCCCTTGTTCGACTCTGACTATGACCCGGTGGTGATCTGCTCGAAGTGGAGTTGGGTCATGTCGTGTTTAGCTCTGAGCATGTGTCGGTGCTGACCTGTTCAAAGCTGAGGTGGGTCATGCCGTAATCGACTCTGAACATGTTCAGCACGTCCACGGGGTCGCCGCGCGCCGTCACCAGCCGGCCGCCGTGCGTTGCCAGCTGACCGTCCAGGTCCTCCAGCGACTCCAGCAGGAACTTGAATCGGTTGTAGCCGATCAGGCGCGTGCCTGTCGACAGGTCAGAGGTCAGCTCATCGAGATAGGAGCGACACGATGTTTTGTCAAAGATAAAACTAAGCATAACATCACCAAAGCCTTGGGGTTTAAGGCTGGTGGCCACATAATGCATACAATACTCCCAGTGTCGAACTCTCGCACCGCTCAGCTTTTCGGACGACCAAAAACCAATGAACTTAATACGTCACTCAGTTATAAAGTACAGTGTGTGCAGTGACCCTTTTGGTCGCCTTGGATGACCACATCGTTACTCAGCCCGTCAGTCATGGGGAAGCAGTGCCATCTATACCTGACCCTAGCAAGCAACTGGCCGGGCACATCCACACAGACATGCTCCACAGATGCTACCATCGGGGCTGCCGAATTTAGCAAGTGTCCATGGTTGGAGGTCATAAAGTCAAGATGGTTAGCTTAGTTCATAAAAATCAATTATATCGAATATAATGCACATTGCTCTCTTGTATATCTTAAATCATTTGAAATAACGCTGTGGGAAATTCTCGCGGCACATGCGTTTTATAACATGCATGGAGCACTGAGCCAGCCGAAAATATTGGGGTGCTGTTCTGCATCACACGGACAGCCTCTGTTACTTTAAAGCATATGCTAACACAATTTTGTCTTTGATTAATAATCAGGTGGGCTTGTTTATCATTCATGGCATGTGAACTGCGCTGCAAACCCGTTTAATTTTATCGACATTCGACCTCCGCCCATCAATGCAGTATACACACCTACAGTAGACACACATACACACACGTACAGCATACACACCTGCATACAATTACAGTATAACGTTCAGTGGGGACTGATATGAAGACGGAAGCGAAAAGGCAGCTGTCGAGAAGTGAAATACGACATAAAATAGCTGTATTCGGAGAGCCCAGGCTGGATCAAGTTGAGCAAAAAAGGTTGGAAGTGTAACTGGGTAGATATACACAAAAAATTGTCAGCGTAGCTGGGCAAAACAAAAGTTGGGCTGGGCAAAAAACAAAAACAAAGCAAAACAAAACAAAAGCCGGCGCAAGCTAAACCAAACGCCAAACAATACACTCCAATAGCAGAAACAAGACACGTCGGAATAACGTTAGGCAATGGCTTAAAGACATCGAAATAGATGCGGAGAGGTCTCAAAAACGTCGGAACGCACATCTGCATGCTTGGTAATATCACAAAATTACTATCAGCTGCACGTTTACCTCCACTTTCTCCATCGAAGATAAACATCAGGTACACCGTGCTGCATGTCGCCAGTAGATCCGTCAGGGCAGGGTTGTCATGGAGACGAAGCCCGTGCCGAAACCAGTGAACTCCAACTGGCTTGGCCATCATTGGGTCGTCTTGTCCCATTGTTAAAGGAGATGTAGATTATAACAGTCGCCTGAAATAACGCCAACCAGTTATAGATTACACGAAGTACAAAATGACAGTTAAGTTTTTTCTTGCCACGCGTGCCAATACATACATTCTTTGGTGTATTTGATGGGTGTTTCGGACTGAAGACCTAGGCAGGCCTGCAAAGCCTCTGCGCTGAATGTACAGCTATTTACAGCCAACGCGTTAGGCTTGAACACATACGGGGACACCAAACGCGACGAGAGGGAACTGACTGGCGAGGCGAGGGTGGGGGTGGGGGGGGGGGGGGGGGAGGAGGCGGCGGCGACTCGGCGTGCACTCGTGGTTAGTTTAGAGTCTCTAGGGCCGCAGACCGGCCGCCAAGCGGGCCGGGTGAGGGGAGGCCGTGCACTTTGGACCGATGAAGTAAACAGAGCGGTGGGGGAGGAGGGAGAGGTGGAGAGGGACTGTCAGAAAGAGAGCATGAGCAGTGAAACAGAACAGTGCAGTGAGGGAACTGAGTGCGGAGAGAAGTACAGGGCCGCCGCAGTCAGGGGATCGAGCCAGCGGTGAAGGTGCGCCATCGCATCATCCATCACGTGTTCATCTGCTGTAGCACGGTTTGTAGCTTGACATAAAGAAGAAAAAAAACAACACAGAAACTGAACTTTAAAAAAATCCACGAAATTTCTAATGCCGAGTGGGACATTTGACGGCTTTGACAGGAGGTAATTTTCGACCATCACGTCAAGGGCAATCAAAGTCAAGAGGCGTTAACAGCACCAGCTAGTGCAACATCTGCAGGAACAGCAGCAATTCTTGACACAAAAAAGTATTAATCGAAACCAATTGCATTGCACTGCCAAACTACGTCCGCGAAACACCAAAATACAGTAACAGCCCTATCACAAAAAGTCACGACTTAACATTATCGTTGTACGACGTGAATGCATGTTGATGGAAACTGAGGTGTTGTCCGCCTTTTCTAACCCAGTGTCTAGATGTCATTTTTGAAACGTGAGTGATGCGGAATTAGAAGGCGAATATATTTTGCAGTATATAAAAATGTTGTAAATTTCGCTTGTCAAAATAGTTTTAGCCTGTTATATAAACAAGACAACACAAGTATATTATTGGAATGAATAAATACATCATGATCACTACCAGCAATTTGAACGGCGATACACCTGCTGGAAAACGCTGCATTTCACAGAATAGAATCACATAGTGCCACAAAATAGAATCGTAACTTTCAGCGCATTTCAGTACTAAACAAGAATCTAAGGAACACAAAAGGAGCACCTAGACACTAAACTGGCTGAATATCCTCTCATTCGTATATTAAAGCCTATCACAAAGACACCACAGTGTAGTGAATCGTCTTAAAGTCGTAGAAAATAGGGTCGTAACAAGCCCTGGCAACCCGATTTTCATGGACATGCCTTCTCGCCGTCTTCTAGTAGCCCCATGTAGATGTCTTGAGCGTGTGAGCGGCTTTGCTTGGTAGTGTATTCGACCATTACCCGGCAATCGACCCATCTTTTCACATGCGGTGATTTGGGTAATTCCGGTTCGTCCATCTACATGATCAAATGCTTCTCCTAAAATATTGTGCTAATACAGATATCAGAAATCGCACACAATCATATTTTATCGAAATTTACAGCAGCTAAAGGCACACTAATATGTCGTGCTTTTTTCTTCCAAAGCTTACCTGAATTTGCCAACGGCCTTTTCAGAATACTATATAACTGTTCAGAGTATTATCTATGGCTGCTTTGTAACTTTTGGCCATGTTTTTGCAAAGTAGGCACGGCACATCCAAAGTCCTCAACAAAAAGTAAAACGTACAATAGCCAAAAATTATCAATAAAAACAACAACAAAGAGCTACACAGCTATACGGCACCCGCCGTTCCCAACAGTCCAGTGTGTACATTGCATCTGTAAGTGAGCATATAAGATAATAATCAGAGACTGTATCAGTGACTAGATCCACTTTTTTACTCGCATCTGTAAATCAAATGAACGCAAGATTCCTTTCACTACGGTTTTATCATATTTCTAACTTGAATGCTTCATCTACCAAGTTTTATTTACGATGCAGATGGGGCACGGCGTGCATGCCACTGGTCATGATGAGACTCCGAGCTTTTAGATCTCGGGGGGGGGGGGGGGGAAGGATCTTAATCCCTACGTGATCCCCGGCGAAAATCATCGTATGAAAATGGCGTTTATCTTATTTTAGTGCGCTCGTATGACTATGCTGGCGTAATATAAGTTCATGGTCTCAGATTGGCAGCACTTTCTGTACATAGTTCCCAACGTGGCAGGTTGACGCTTCATGTACCCAGTTTTGAATTACACAGCTGTACGTATTTTCGTAGAGTCACAGAGCAGCGCTCCGTCAGACCATTTTCTTGCGATTAATTTCACCGGACCTTCTTGCAGTAATAACGCCTGTAATCTTGTAGTCCTATGTTAACACACAAAGTCGTGCCTAGGTAAAAGCGTATCCAAAGGCGAGTTATTTGGTAGTCGTCACCGTCTCCCTGCACTACTCCCGAAACACGACTGAAGGCATTGCTTTCACCACTGAGCTCAGCTATGCGGACGGACTTGAGACACTGGCGCACCGGGCACCAGAGCGCATGCGCTATGTACAATTCCATAATCTAAGCGCACTGAAGGTTGGGCAACGGCGAAACACCAGCCTATTTGTCATGACATTTGAGCCGACGCAGCTTCTACGGCACCTGTAGAAGCTGTGTCGGCTACTGCTACTACGGTCTACAGTCTGAACCCGACAGTTGAATCACTCAATCTGACACAACTCATCGATCAGCCAACACGCATTACACCCCTCCCCCTTTGCACTGATAAATCACATTTCTACCTTTGTCACTACCAAGGTTGCATCACCGCCCCTAAAGGCATTCGTCAGACAAATATGGGACTACACAAACATGTATGCAGACAAACTTTCACAGCTTTTGGTAAACACAGACTGGGACAGAGTACTTGATCATGGCATAAACACAGCGAAAAATAATCTCACGCAGACCAAGCCCGCAGCTGCTGCTGAAGCTATCCCAACTAAGATAATCAGGATGAGAAACTGTGACAAACCTTGAGTCAATGCTGCCCTAAAGAGGGAGATGAGAAGAGACAGACTTTTCAGACTTGCTCAGAGGTATGTGGCTGATGACCACTGGGACCGCCGGCGACAACAAATAAATTTTACGACATGCATGAACAGACGACTTCAGAACAACCACTTGCAACATCAAGTAAACAACCTCTTGCATGCAAAGCAAAACCCACACAAGCACCACCGCATTCTTAAACAAATGACAGGACGGACACGAGCTGAGACATTGTCACCCCTCGTAGGACCCGATTCAACCCATTGACAGAAGACTTAGATAAAGCTAACCTACTACGTGACTTTTTTGCCAGACAATCACAACTCGCAACTGACTGGAGAGAAGTAAAGGCTAATCCCACTTAAAAAACAAACAAACAAAGGGTCAAGTTTGGATCCTGCTAAATACAGACCAATCAGTTTACTGCCTTGGTGGCGAAAATTCTTCAAAGGATTATCTTTAATAGTATCTGTTAACATCGAATTAGGAATGGACTGCTCTCGGAGAAACAAAGTGGATGCCGTCCATAACACAGCACTCAAATTCAACTGGTATAATTAATTAACAATCTTTATGCAGCTTTGGACCGAGGCAATGAATTAACAGTCATTTACTTGGACATTAGCAAGTACTTATGACATAAAGGCCTCCTACTCAAGTGCAAGAACTATTGTGGTGTGTCAGGAACTCTCCTAAATTGGCAAGCATCGTATCTCTCAGACCGTAGGCAGATAGTTAAGGTAGGCAACGGTTTCAGCACGCCTAGGCCCATGCATGCTGGATGCCCGCAGGGGTCTGTTCTGGGACCTCTCCTTGCCCTCATGTATCTTAACGACCTAGCCGACAAAACTGATAATGAGTATTGTTCTTCGCCGACGATGCTACGCTATACACAGCTCATTCACACGACCCGGTTACCCTGCAAGCGGCACTCCAACACGACTTACATATTATACAAGAGTTCGGCAAAGACTGGCTCACCACGTTTAACGTCACGAAAACAATTCAACAAACATTCACCAACGGAAACACACATAACCCGCCGCAACTGGCATTTGATGGCCAATGAATTCCTTCCGTTACAAGCCACAAACACCTTGGCCTGACGATATCTACTGATTTGCACTTTCATCAGCACGTTAATGACACCATCTCCAAAATCAGAACAGCCCTTGGGCATCTCTAACCACTATCGCGACTTCTGCCTCGGCATATTATCGATGATGATATATATATATATATATATATATATATATATATATATATATACATATACGACTTACATTCTTCCCTTGTTTGATTATTGTGACGTAGTATACGAAGGACTTTTGACAACCAGCGACACCCTTAGACTTGAAAGATTACAGTACAGAACAGCAAGACTAATCACCAGTGCACTCTACAGAACACACACTCGCGCACTGTTGGACGCTTTGGGATGGAACACTCTCAAATCACGAAAAAAAACTTGCACAAACTGACGCTGTTCCACACCCTCATCCACAACCAACATCTACTGCCAACAAACGTCACTGCACTTCTACCTGACACACGAGCACTTGCAGCAGAACGCCCACTACGCAATGCATTGACACTCAAATCACCACCGAACAGAACTTCAACATACCAAAAATCCTACATTCCATCAACTACGAAAAGATGGAACCAGGTCCTGCTCGAGGTGTCATCTCTCCAGTCGTCTCGTTCCTTCAAACGGGAAATATACCAGCCCTGCGGTGTGGCCGCACCTCCGGTGTATCACGGCTTTGGATCCAGGCATGGCAACATCCTTAATACTAGGCTGAGATTGGGAATGCCAGACCTTAATGCCCACCTGTTCGAAGTCCAAAATTCAACCACGCCTAGTCCTTCTTGCTTGTGTGGCTACCCATGTGAAGATT